GTGTGTGCACCCCTACATGTGTGTGCACCCCCTGCACACGTGTGTGCACCTCTAGTTATGTGTGTGCCCCCAAGGCGCATATATGTGCACGCCTACATGTGTGGACCCTATGCACACATGTGTGCACCTGTGCTCGTGTGTGCACCCCTACATGTGTGTGCACCCTAGGCACACGTGTGTGCACCCTAGTTATGTGTGTGCACCCTAGGCACACGTGTGTGCACCCTAGTTATGTGTGTGCACCCTAGGCACACGTGTGTGCACCCCTACATGTGTGTGCACCCTAGGCACACATGTGTGCACCTCTAGTTATGTGTGTGCACCCTAGGCACGTGTGTGCACCCCTACATGTATGTGCATCCTAGGCACATATGTGTGCACCCCATGCACGCATGTGTGCACCTGTGCTCGTGTGTGCACCCCTACATGTGTGTGCACCCTAGGCACACGTGTGTGCACCTCTAGTTATGTGTGTGCACCCTAGGCACATGTGTGTGCACCCCTACATGTGTGTGCATCCTAGGCACATGTGTGTGCACCCCTACATGTGTGTGCACCCTAGGCGCATGTGTGTGCACCCCTACATGTGTGTGCATCCTAGGCGCATGTGTGTGCACCCCTACATGTGTGTGCACCCTAGGCACACATGTGTGCACCTCTAGTTATGTGTGTGCACCCTAGGCACATGTGTGTGCACCCCTACATGTGTGTGCACCCTAGGCACATGTGTGTGCACCCCATGCACCTCTGGTTATGTGTGTGCACCCTAGGCGCATATGTGTGCACCCCTAGTAATGTGTGTGCGCTCCCCCATGTGCACGTACCTGCCCCTCGCACATGTGTGTGCACCCCTAGTTATGTACGTGTGTGCCAGGCACACGTGTGTGCCGTTCCCATGTGTGCACGTGTACGTGTGTGTGCGCCTGCGGTGAGTGCAACCCTTGCGCCTAGGTTTGCCCCCGTACATGTACGTGCACCCCCTTTGTCCGGGGGCGTGCGCCCCTTGCACAAGCGGGTGCACCCAAGCAGGTGTGTGCATGGCCTGGCACACGTGTGTGCATGCGCGTGCATGCCTGTGCACCCTCTGGCCTTCCTGTGTGCGCGTGTGTGTGTGTGTGTGTCCCTTGCACACCTGTGTGCACCCCTGCAGGCGTGTGCCCACCCTTACACACGTGTGCACCCCTGCATGTGTGCGGCCTTGCATAGGTGCGTGCCCTTGCATAGGCACGTGCACCCCCTTGCACACGTGTGTGCACCCCTTTGCACACATGCAAACACCTTGGACACGTGTGTGCACCCCCCCACACACCTATGCACCCCGTGCAGCTCCCCCCCCCG